CAGTCGTCACTTTTATCAAAGTCTCCTTACCTTTGAGACCCAACTGATTAATTACCTCTTCAAGTACAAGAGAAGTATCTGAGCCACTATTAAGGGCGTAAGTTTCCAACGTTCTCTTCTGATCATACAGTCTGACCGGAATGATACCAAAACAAAACGTCGACGAGTTCCAATCCATAACTAAGTTCACTACAGAGTTATTAATACCATCAATATGTAGCAATGAATAATACCAACGTCACACTTGATGTCCGAGTTGAATGACATGGCTATGTGACGCTTCCTTAAACACAGTTAACATAGACCACGTCTTCTGCAGTATTGACCCGGTTGTCCATCAAAATACATCATATCAATCTTAGGTAAAGCCATATTATTAACCATAGTATGTGACGTATCCTTCAATCCATCAACTCAATCGCCTTTTGAAATGTTAAATACCTCCCTTGAATGAGTATTACACCCAGTATCGCAATCCAATTACCTTTCCACCTTAGCATTTATCCCACATTTGTCTACGGGCAGTTGGTTGTCGTCCTCCATGATCTTACATTCTAATTCAGCCATATCAACCTGTTCTTGGAGATCCAACATCTTAAGCTGCCGTTCTAACTCAAGTCTCCTTTATAAATACTTCTTCCTTAGTAATGCCTTACCTAACCTTAATCTAGAAGTAGTAAGCTGACCAGAGTACATACTATTAATACTAACATCATCACATTTATCATCATTAACATCAGACATACCAGAAACAGCTTTAGAAATTTTACCATCCATTTCGTCATTTTCCTTCGGCCTTTTGCTTCGCGTTTCCATCGTATTCCTTGTTCCAAAAAATCGGTTACCGAAACAATTCTGAATTATTCCAAACGAAATCGACCAATAGGACCAGGAAATTGGACCCAAAATGCTCAGACGAATCCAAGGTATCAACACAGAACCAATAATTGAAGAAGTTTATGTTACATCCAAGATTTTGCTCGTTCCCGTTATTGAATTACGGTATATCGATCTATTTGCAATGTACAAACCCAAATTAACAATAGAACCAAACTCCAATTTAGATACCAAAGTTTATTCGCAATTTACAATTAGTCGACCCAAATGTAGTTCTAACAACAGTAATTATAACAATTACAAAACAAACCTTCAGTTTTGTAGGTTCCCGGAGCAAAAGCTCCCAAATACCAAACCAATGACAAAGAGAAACCAAACTGTCCAAAAATAATTATATAAACAAACAAGTTCAAAAGTTAAGTAAAACAAATACACCCAAAAACACAATAAAATTATTAATATACAATGAAGAGATTTTAATCAGCCAAATGTCTACAGTACTCCCGTAACACCAATCTCGTTTTGAATATATTAACAGATGGTGCTGATATTACGTGTTCCGGTAGAAAGTCCCAGCCACCAATGAGCTAAGATTATCCTGTAATACTATTCTATCCGACATACTGTGTATGGGTCTCTAAATTTTTATCTCATCAGCGAAGAGTAGATTGGATGGTTTTTCTACAGTTGGTAATTCATTTGCATAAGGTAAAAAGAGAAGAGGACCGAGGATTGTACCTTGGCGAACTCAACTTTTTACAGGTACCCACGAGGAGAGAGCTCCATTAACCCTTCCCCTTTGTCTCCTGTCATGGAGAAAGTTACTTATCCAATCTACGACTGTATAATGGATTCCAAAACGTTCCAGTTTGAATTTAAGACCAGAATGGGAGACCTTATCAAAGGCCTTACTTTGATCTATGAAGATCACGTCCACATGAATATTCCTATCTTTTGCAGCAGCCCAATCTTCTCTTGCAATGAGAAGATTTGTCAAGGATGATAGGCCTCTCCGAAAACCATATTGTTCCCTGGGGAGAAGATTATGCCCTTCAACATAGTTTATAACAGATATTCGAATGATTTTTTCCATCAGTTTTACAACCGCACTAGTTAAGCTAACGGGTCTAAAGTTACTGATTAAATCCCTACTCCCAACCTTATACAGCGGACTTATTATAGTGTCTTTCCAGTCTCTTGGCAGTCTGGACTGCCTCAGAGACATGGCAAACAGTGTCGTTAATGGTTCAGCAATTACATCTGATATGGCTTTCATAATCCTAGGATGAATATAATCAGGACCACTGGACTTATTGGATTTGAGATGCTGAAGTAGCCTTAAGACAGTACCTTTCTCAATGACTACAGGGTCCATCAGCGAGCTGCCACGACCACAATGAATCGTTGGTCGTTCTTCATTACTGATAGAAAACACTTTACTGAAATATTCCGATAAAGCTTCAGCTTTCTCGGTATCATTTCTTGCCAAGATTAACGGATATTCTTGTATCAAAAGTGATGGAATTCCATCGCTTCTCTGAGTTCGCCTTTTTATGTACGAGAATAACCGTTTTGGACTATATCTAGGATCCCTAATCAATTGTTTTTTCATATGATCGTCTAGTCTTACTTATTAACGCTTTACAGGCATTCCTAATCTTACAATAACTGGATCTGTATTGTTCTAAGCCAGTAGAGATGAACATATTCCAGTGCTTCTTCCTTTTTCTAAGGAGCTTCCTGACTATTATAGTTATCCGTGGTGGACTGTTATTCGGTCTTCGCGGTACCAGGTATGTTATGAACGAGGACGTAACTAAACTAAACTTACCTTTAAATACAGACCATGCTTCTTCAACTGATAAGCTAGTATCTACAAATCAATCTGTCTTAGCAGCGCATTCCTGAATGGCTGATATGTTAGCTTTCCATACATTTGGGCGCGGTGTAACCTGATCGTATAACATGTCCCTAGTTCTAAACGCGAATGACAAAACAGCGTGATCGCTGTTCACTAACGGTGGAAGAATATTTAGGTCGACAATATCCTCAGTCTCATGAGTGATTACCAAGTCCAACAGAGAACCTTGGTTAGCACCAAAACGTGTGGGTTTGGATACATGCTGCACTAGTGCATGCTACATTATTGTTATCAGGAACCTGCTATCAAAGTAGTTTATAGATCCTTCCGTGGTCATCCCAGTCCAATTAATATCAGGTGCATTAAAGTCTCCTATTATCAAGAATCTGTTATTTGCGCTCCATAGCTGAATGTGCTCTAAAATAAGGTCATCAGCTAAGCAGATTGGGCTGTGATAGATGACACCGAGCATAAATGTACCACATACGATAGCCAATTTACAGCTAATGACTTTACAAGTACCGCTATCATGGGATTCGCTAGCAGAGGAGCGGATATTTATATTATTGGCTATATATATAAAAGGACGCCACCTCCCTTTCTACATCTATGTCTATCACTACTTAGGTAATCGTATCCGGATAATTCTGGAGTAATGTCTAAGTCATGGGCTAACCAAGTTTCTGTCACTGTTACAATGAGTGGCCTTAATTTGTCCACTAATGCTTCTAGTTCATAGAACTTATTTCTTAGACTATGAGCGTTGGCATGTAAAACTCCTAGATAGAACAGCCTATCCACACAGGCCTCGGTAGCATTCCCTTCCGAGACCTGACTATCCGAAAACCCACTAACCGGAGATTTTCCTCACCGTTTTGTCGACGGGTTTCTAGTTCAGCTAGTGCTTTCTTCCTTTTTATTCTATATTCAAGAGACATATCAAGTCTAACTCGGATGTCGGAATTGTCGTGACTACGAGCGCTACTTAACAGGAGATCACGTTGCTTCTCCGACCCTAGGATTACCTTAAGGAGTCTTCATGGTCGGGGTTCAGCATTTTCCTCGGTCCTCTTGCTTATTCTAACCAGTTTTTTGACCTGAACTCCTTTAGAGTTATCTGCCAATATACTACGAATATATTCTCCCAGCTTCTCTAAATCATGCGCGTGTCTAATTTTGGGATCAGGGTCGTTTGACTCCAGCAATCTTCTCACAATAATATGCTATGAGATTAGATTCTCCTTCTCAGTCATCACGCCAGGGTGGGTTTCCCTCCTACTATCATACTTTGGTAGTGAATTTTGTGAATCACAATGGGAGTCCACCAATGACTTGCTAACCAGCTGCGTACTGCCTACAGCTTTTTCCTTTCCGTTTCGTTTTCTCCGTACTGTAGTTCATTTTTCATCCCTCGGGACACTGGAATTATTTGGAGTGGTGACGGTTTTATCCAGATCTTCAGTTTCCACTAGAGGTGCATGATTACCAATGTCAGGTGGTACTACATCCCTCCTTAATGTTAACGGAGATTTCGCTTCTCCGTCAGTCAAATTCGGGAGTTCGAGGCATCTCTTAACAGCAGGTACTACACTGACACATTCGTCACTGTCAGTGCTCGTGTTATCAGCGCATGCGCCATCGTTCTTCTTACAGGCCAAAGCCAATAGGCTCATAGTCTCCTGTATTAGTAACGTTTTATTTGCACAGCAAAACATGCAAAGCCAATGTGAGTTAGACTTCGAACATCTTTTGTATACGGTGGGACTTGAACGGGTGCACATTTTATGGAACCACTTTTTGCGTTCACCGCACTGCATTCATTCCTCCACAGGGAACAAACAGTTTGTCTGTCCATATTTGTGAGTACTACCAACCATTTTAGTCAAATTAAGGTGTAAAACACAATATGATCACAGTATGAACACGTGTCAGTCAGTGAGTAAAAGGGTACCACAAGACAAACTCAAGCAAGATTTTAAACCTTAACTAAAGTACTTTGATATAGACCAAGAATGCTTTTGATGCGACAACTACACAAAAGCAAGGATAATCACAACAAGTACAAATTCACTGTCCTTTTGAAACGCGCGCGAAGCCAATTACTTTTTTCCTTTATTATAGGTAACATACCTAGGTTCCTGCCTGAGATATTGATGTTCCACAGCTACTATATACGGAGGCTCGTTAAGTGGAAGGTTCTTCTATTCCGTCCACAATCATTTGAACTATTTGAAGATTTTAGGTACTAATGTTGCCAAGTTCGAATTTGGCGTTGCTCAGTAACTTCCGGAAATAGCTAAGTATGGATTTCTTCAAACGTTCCAAGTTTGACAAGCTGATTGGTAAGTGATACTGTTAATAAAATGAAGATTCTTGAATTTATAGAGAAGGCGACCAGTGAAATGCTGATTGAATCAGACATTGAGAGTACCATTGCAGTTTGCGATAACGTGCGTAGTCAAGAGATTTCGTAGGTTAATACTTCACGTAATTACAAACTAATGAAGGCCTAAATATGCGGTCCAGTGTTTAAAGAAACGTCTTCAGTGTGACAACCCAAACGTCGTTCTACACTCATTTGATGTAATCTCTCTCTCATAAACTTACACTGTAGGTGCTGGAGTCATTAATGAAGAACTGTGGTACACCTGTTCATGAAGAAGTTTGCAGCACTGACTTTATGCAGCAGCTTGTTGGGATGGTTGATGTATGTTATTTGATAGACTTTGACGCTTTTTAGACATCCCCAGACGTTCGTGCAAAGCTTCTAGAGTGTCTTCAAAATTGGGCGTATGTTTTTCGTGATAAGCCTGGCTACGTTGCTGTGATAGATGCTTATGAGAACCTTAAAAACGCTGGCTACGTTTTTCCGGAGTTCTCAGAGAGTGCTGCTATGTTCAGTGTAGTTTGTGCTCCAAGTTGGAAGGAAGGAAATGCATGCCATCGATGCAAGTCCGCATTTACTACGTTCAGGCGTAAAGTAAGGGTTTATTCTATTTTTACTAAAAGCTTAAAGTTTTATATCAGTGTGTTGTCACAGTAATACTCCAGTCTCCATTAACTTGATCTGATTGGTTGGTATAAAAGTTTTTTATCATGCGTAACTGGAAGTGCATATAAATATAGCTTGTTTACCAGTAAACTACATCTTATGTAGTATTCTTATATCTTATCGGTAAAATGGCTGTTTTTATTGAGTTATACGTCATTATTGGTCGGTGTAGGGGAACTTGTTGAAGTCCGATAACTGACTCAAACAGGTACTTTCCGCGGCGCTAACTGCAAGGTAAAAAAAGATATCTACATATCTTTATCGACTATTTCGATTATCAAGTCACTTGATTGAAACATGCTTTTCAATTAAATGGCATATTTTTCGGTTTTTAAGTCAACTTTGTGCACTTGTGAGGAGCGTTTGTATGCTGACTCAGTTTCCTATATAAACCTTTGGGTTCGAAATATCTGTAACTATGCATATGCTTGACGTAAAATCCAATATTGTCCAAGACATATTTTCATAACCAAGTGAGAGGTTTCATACATTGTGCTTGTGGATGCCAATAAACTAAAATGTTACATAACAGTGCGCGACCACCTATTATTTTCAGTAGATAACTGCCTCACACCAAATACGGCTAAACTCCACAGGTGAGGAGTAGTAAGGGACGACAAAAACCAACGAACAGTCCAAAGCTTACTGTTCATTAGTGCTAGCTATCGTCTGTTTTAGTATGGTAACTAGAATAACTTAGACTAATTATTTCTAATAGCACCATAGGTCGGTGATATATTATCAAATAAAATTTGATTTGACAGCCTTCAAGGACCATCATTATTTATCAAACATTTCCAATCAAATCGATTGTATCATGCAGTCTGTCGTGCAAACCAGTAGCAGTTTCTTCGAAATTTTTTTAATGCTAGAAAGTAGAAAATCCTACTGTAATCGTTACAGTGAACTTAACGTTGAAAGCTTATTTCATTATGCCAGAATCAAGTTAGAGATGAGCGATTTGGGGGACGCAGTCGTAACACGAATATTGTAGATGTACTATACATCCTTACTTACTTACGCCTGTTACAACCATTGAGCATAGGTCGCCGACCAACATTCTCCAACCCATTCTGTCCTGGGCCTTTCTATTTCTGCCCAATTTTTGTTCATTCTTCTTATGTCTGTCTCCGTTTCTCGGTCTTCCTCTTATCCTTTGGCCTTGAGGATCCCAGGCGAGAGCTTGCCTTATGACGCGGTTGGCTGCTTTCCTCAATGTGTGTCCTATTCACTTCCAGCGCTTCCTGATTACTTCTCCCACTGGAATCTGGTTTGTTCCCTTCCTCAGTAAGTTGTTGCTGATAGTGTCTGGTCAACGGATCCGAAGTATTTTTCGTAGACAACTGTTAATAAACACTTGTATCTTCTGGTTGATGGCTTCTGTAGTTCTCCAGGTTCTCCAGTAGAACAGTCTTGAAATTTGTATTGAAAATTCTGACCTTGGTGTTGGTTGACAATTGTTTTGAGTTCTAGATGTTCTTCAGTTGTAAGTATGCTACTCTTGCTTTGCCGATCCGCTCCTTCACATCTGCATCCTTCAAAGTTTCTCCGTCAATTGTGATTCGATTGGTGCATGTTGTGTTTTATCGAAGAATCTTGCTTTCCCCTTTGTATATGTGGGGACCTACTGCTGCTGAGGCTGCTGCTACACTGGTCATCTGCACTTGTTGCGTGTGCGATAGAAGAGCCAGATCATCTGCGAAGTCTAGATCGTCTAGCCGCATCTCAGCTGTACACTGTATCCCGTGCTTCCTCCCAGATGTTGACGTCTTCATAATCCAGGGTGAGAGTAATCAACTTTGCCTGACACAGTTTAACCCATCATAGGAATTCCGTATGATATTGACAATCTTCTGAGGCACGCCGTAGTGTCGAAGAAGCTTCCATAGTGTTGTCATGCCTACGCTATTAAATGCTTTCTTCTAGTCAATGGAATTGATGTAGAGTGATGAATTCCATTCAATTGATTGTTCCATAATGATCCGTGGTGTTGCGTTTGGTCGGTACACGATCGATCCTTACGGAATCCAGCCTGTCGGTCTCGAAGCTGGGCGTCTACGGAGTGCTTCATTCTGTTTAACAATGCCCTGTTGAAGACTATTCCTGGTATTGAGAGAAGAGTGATGCCTCTGTAGTTCTCACACTTGGTAAGATCGCCTTTCTTTAGTATCTTGATCAGGTGTCCTTCTTTCCAGGCTGCTGGTACTTGTTCTTCATCCCAAATCTTGCTGAAGAGAATGTGGAGCATGTTTGCAGTTACTGCTACATTTGCTTCCAGTGCCTCTACTGGAATGTTGTCTGGTCTTGCTGCTTTGCCGCTGTGGTCGAGTCACCGCCTATAGTCAACTCTTTTCTAAACTGGTTATATCAAGCGGTGTTAGTCAAGGAAAACCACTCATCATTTTTGTGTGCCTTTATCATAAGGATCAGTCAGTCAGTAACAACGTAGAACTTCGTATGTACGTACATCAGTTCGAGTTGCCACACCTTTTAGGGATAACTTTCTTCGTTTGACTTCCCAAATATAAGTCTCCTACTAGGTGATTCATTCATCAACTTGAAACACGCAAACGACATAGTCCTATATCCTTGAGTTCCTCATCCTATAAGCGCTTTCCGCGCTTCCTCGTAGAGCATCAGTGCAACATCTTGTTTGCATGAGGCTATTTCTTCTGCATAACTAGAACACAACACAAGCTCTCTCGAAGCTGACTTTTTTTGTTTACTTTGAGTCCAATGGGTATCACTAATTCTAAGCACTGCCAGTTTGTATTCTCTTATTTCCACAGCTTTTTGAGTGGTCCTCACACTGTATGAATATTGCATGTATCTATATTAATTGTTACTCTGGTTCTCCGATTTCCGGAGAATCTGGACTTTCAACATGAGGTGTTATAACCTTTCTAAATAAATACCCTTCAAAACCTGGGGAGGAAGTTTAAATGTTTTAAATCTTTTTTATGATAGTCGTTTTTTCAGCAAGGTTGTTTTCTTCGGGATGAGGTTGCTTACTTCATGCTTAACCCTCTGTTAGCGGGGCATAGACTAGACTAAAGCATGCTCAATGCATGATTGCTTTGGTGCACGCTGATTGGCTAATTCTTATCCAATCAGCGCTAGTCGATAGTTGGAGAATATTCTGGATTCTTCTTATGTAAAAACTATAAATATACCGACGTTTTTCCCTATTGTGCTTCTTACTGGCTTCTGACTTCCATCTAACCTTGTTATTTGGAATATAATCTCTTCCTGTTCAACCGTGTTTTGATTTGGGGACTTGTCGAGTGAATCGGTGTCCGAGAATACTAAGCAATAGGAATAGCCGGGTCATCAACCGTAAGAAATCAGAGTATAACAGTGGCGACGGGGAAAAATTAAAGAAAAATGGCGATTTCTTTAGAACAGTTGCGGTTAATATTACAGCACCAGCAGAAGTTGTTAGCCTTTCAACAACAACTATTGAGCACACTTTTCACTCGACCAGAAAATAAGAAATCTGTTTATGATGCAGTAACAGACATTTCAGAAGCATATCTAGTGGAGGGTTCAAATCCCTTTATACCTGAATCACAACGTAATATTTGTAACGTGTCCGGCTCACAGCAAGAAAATACTGTGCTGAATGCACATGAAGTTGTGACAATACCAGATGATCAGGAGCCAGGTCCTGTAGATGAAGCCCGGAGTCCAGAATCAAATGAAACACTACTGGTACTGTCTAGCTGCGAAAATAAACGTCAGCTCGAACAAAATTGTGGTCCACGTGCTATTAGTCGAGAAAGCTATGGTGACTCGTATTCAGAAAATAACTGGAGCAACACGATGAACCAAATTGTACCAGATGTTACTCAAAATCACCGGAAGACAGAATTTTATATTAAGTCAACTTATCCCATTTCTAATGACAGTGTACCAGATATTGATTCTCAGAATAATGCATATGATTTTGATGAACCTTCTTATAACAATGAGGGAAATATGTCAGCTGAGTCGAATGATGGCCAAAAATCTAATCTAATTCTGTTAGACGTTGACTTTCTTAATGACTCGTTATCAGCTAACGAGATTCATAATGAATTTGAAAATAATGAACTCAGATCAAAGGTTGTTCATCATCATCTAGTCATTTTTAGTGGATTCTCCAGTCAATACGAGAAACATGGTTTAAATAAAGTCCTACTAGTTATAATTTGGAGCCATAAGGACCCAACATTATTTCGAGGAGGAGGAGAATGTTGGAGAATTAAAAGTTATGCATACTTTTTTTTAAGAAAAATCAAAACGCCGGGAACAGACATGTCAGTCTCTGTGCAAGGAAAAAGTGATAATTCTTCATTGCCTAGACGATGGACTAATCGAAAGCACAAGCCAGTCACTCAGTTGCAGTTGGACCCTAGCACCAGATCCTACGAATCTGCTCAGAGGGGAGGTGTTAGCGGGGCATAGACTAGACTAAAGCATGCTCAATGCATGATTGCTTTGGTGCACGCTGATTGGCTAATTCTTATCCAATCAGCGCTAGTCGATAGTTGGAGAATATTCTGGATTCTTCTTATGTAAAAACTATAAATATACCGACGTTTTTCCCTATTGTGCTTCTTACTGGCTTCTGACTTCCATCTAACCTTGTTATTTGGAATATAATCTCTTCCTGTTCAACCGTGTTTTGATTTGGGGACTTGTCGAGTGAATCGGTGTCCGAGAATACTAAGCAATAGGAATAGCCGGGTCATAACCGTAAGAAAAGCGATATATAACACCCTCGTTCTTTATTCGGCTTTGGTATGAGCAGTAATCCTGAAGGGCTGCAGACAGAGCTATCATGGGATAAGTTCCTCTCCCACGAAATGTTAGTTGTAGCCCCACAACTTGTCTGTATCATTGCCCAGTTTAAACATAGATAGTGAATTAGATCACATCCACTACCTCGCTTATCTTGGAAGTGTCATTAGCCATATTAGGTTGATGGCTAACGATATCTCGACACGAAAACATAAAGCTCCCATCCAGGCTCTGGGGATACTGTTCAGCATTCACCTTTGTATTATGGCCTATGTAAGTGATGAAAGTCTACTAGCCTCTATTGTTTAACCATAATTCTCCGGGAAGCATACCTTGTGTAATCCTGAGGTTTGGCGTAATGTACTAGATTACGATAAAAAATTGGCTGATAAGACTAAAAACTTTCATCGCTTCACTTTATGTTTGTTTTACTCATTTTGTCAAGTTTTTTTGTAATATCGAAATATCAATAACAATACAAACACATACATTAAAGCGTAAGAATCTGAATTACACATTATGTTGATCACTTGAGCTTGATTCTAAAATGTCTAGATAACTGGGTGTCAATAAAAGCATAATTCATTGTGATATTCGTGCCGAAAAAATTACAGACTTACTACAGATTGGTTCATAAGTTTCAGATCTACGATTTTAAATGGTAGTTATGGCCTTATATATTGAATCCTTCACTTATATTTGCTTTTGGCTCAGAAAATTGTCAGTTTAGAGTCATTTTTACAGTAGTTGATTTAATAAACTCGATACCTTACCGGTAGCTTAATTGTTAAGTTGTTATACATCCATCTACTAGGTCTCGAGTTTGAACGCCGATCAATCTACTTCCATTCGGGAAGCTGGATATTCTCAAATCTGACAAATCCATTTTCCTTGTAGATCCCTCATGGTAATTTTAGTTAATATGTCCCCTTGTGTACTTTTTCATGTTATGTTTTCATCTTAGTAATCTTTTTCAAACATATCGTTACCTTAATTTTCTCCAGCATCACTGTCGTAAGTGTGGTCAAGTGTTTTGTGGTGAGTGTACCTCATCGCGCGCCATTCTGCCTGAATTCGGCATTGAGAAGGAAGTGCGTGTTTGTGATTTGTGCTTTGAATCAGTTAACAGGTAATTGCCCATAAACATGTCATTCTGTAGACATTATGATTTTATTTATTATATCGATTAATGATCGTTGACAGTAACGCGTTCCTGTATATTTATATATTCACTTTAGTTGCAGTAATATTTGCCAAAACTGCTGAAGCGAATGGTGAATTTACTTTCATTTTCCTTACTACGATATACTTTGTAATAATCTTCCTTGCTTTTTCTGCTTATATCGACCTGTAGGAATAATAAACGTTGTATATACTGTTTTCCAAAGGGTCATCCGTCTTTAAAACACATCTCTGCAACATTGACGAAAGTTGCGTTTATAAGTAACAAAACCATTCAGCGGTAGAAGTCAGTCAGCTACAACGTAGGACCGAATTTACAACCACAATTGGTGTCCGGCAAGGTTGTCCACTATCTCCATTTCTGTTTAGTTTCATCATAAACCTACTGCTGGAAATAACGTTCTCTTCCAATGAATTATCAGAAGTTGATCTCCTACCAGAAGGTACACTTATTGCCTAAGAATACGCCGATGACATGATCCTGTTTTGTGAAGACGCTGATAAAATGCAGTCTTCTGGTAGAAATAAGCAAAATACCAGGATGTTTGGGATGCGTTTCTCTCCCTCTAAGTAGGAATTGTTGCTTCAGGACTGGCCTGCGTCACCACCTGAACTAAGGAGAGGGAGTGAAGTAGTCGAACGCGTCGACAGTTTCACATATATTATCTTAGAGTCCGATCAGACCTAATGGATTGATGTTTGACGAAATCTCTGCACGAATCCAAAATGCTGGTGTACCTTTTGCCAACTTACGTCACCTATGGCGAAAGGAAGATATCCATCTATCAATCAAGGTACGAGTATACTGCGCGGCAGTTCGTTCTGTTCTACTTTATGGCTGCGAAACGTGGCCATTAAGAGTAAAAGATACTCGTAAGTTACTAGTATTTGATCACAGATGTCTTAGAAATATTGTTCGCGTCTGCTGGGATCATCGGGTAAGTGATAGTGAGGTTAGACGCAAGGTGTTAGGGAATGATGGTAAGTCAGTTGATGAGGTTGTGAATCTTCATCAACTGAGATGGTTGGATCAAGTATTGCGCATACCCAACAACCGATTACCACGACGCATAATGCTGACTAGTGTTGGCGACGGATGGAAGTTAGGGGCAGCCAAACCAAAATGTGGTTGTTGTAACGGGTGGACTGCAGGTTTTGATAAGCAGCGTTTTATTGATCGCTTCAGTGACACATAAACACGTAAGGACGACCTAGGGTTCTGATTGGCCCTGCTTCCCTGTCTAACCCAGCCAGTTGAGTCTAGAACGCAAGTCACAGCCTCTGAGTTATGAATCATTGTATTTCAGATATACTCTATTTATATACCAAACAAACAAACCACATCGTACCATAAAATAGAAAACAACATTTACACAATATTAAACAAGTGAAATAAACATCGACCAATAGGAAATGTACATTTAAGGTCCAAGGCCACCATAGACTTAACACGATACTTATTGGTATATTTTTCCGACTATCCTAACAGTGGTATCAGTCCATAAAGTCACTAAATTCTTGTCTAAGCCATGTTGGTAGATGCAGACTACTTGGTTGAGATCCGCATGACTATCGTAACCAATGGTTAGAGACTGTGGGTGACATGGCTCAGAATCGATCACAATGGCATAGGTGTATGCACTCTTCGTCTTTCCTTAAACCGTGCGTTCGAAATTGCTTTATACCTTTCTTTCTACCAACTAATTCTTTCTTCCTGTATTATATCCTTATACGCAATCTTTCTTTTATACATTACTACCATTGAAGTGACTACTATGAATTCAGTGTTCATCTTGTTGTGCTAATTAGGTGTGGTAAGTTGGAGTGATGCATATATGTGCCTGGTCCTACGTTCTAGATGACTGACTAACAAGTTATTATTATTACTATTACTGTCGGTAGTGTTGCTAGTAGCATATGCTGGCATTTATATTTTTGCAATGTATTTTAACAATATTTTCGTTGTTGTTTCTGTTTTGTAAGAGGATTGTCTTCTGCTTCAAATAACTCTGAAGATAAAAGGTCTGTGGAGAGGGAGAATCAGGTAATCTTTTTTCATTTAAGATTAGCGATTGCGTGTTTTTGAATATTTTTTTGCACTTGAATCTCAAGTGTTGGTATTCCAAGTTCAGTCCTAGCTAATCCGGTTTTTGCACCTACACAGTCATTAGCACTACATTTTCTACGACTTGTTTTTTGTCAAGTAGGATAGACTGTAAATTGAAGTCGGGTCCTGAGCGTCACTTAATAATGAAGAGATCCTTCTACAAACTTTATTTAAGTAACAGCTGATCCCTACTTTTGTGGTTTGGATTCCCATATTTGTGTCTACAAATGTTTGTTTGTTGGCAGATCAGTTGATTATCAAACAGCATTTCAAAGTCTTTACATATGTTGGCGTAATGGTATTTTTTTCTTTTTGTCACTCAGAAATAGTACATGATACTGTTTAAATAAACATGAAGCGTCCCATTCAACTAACCCTGTCTTAAAAGTCTCACATAATAATATAGGCAACGATTGAAGTGTAAGAAAAAGATACAGCGAAACATACTTTCTTTACCTTTACAATCACTCTATCTTTTCTATTACCTTTAGGTAGATACTTTCATCAATTAAAATCTATTTTCGTCATTGATTATTTCCAGAGATTTTCTGTGGCTTGATTTTTTAATTGAAATGCTTACTATATTTGTGTTATGATTTAAACATCATAATAACAATCTATCTTGGAAATATGTCGGTCTTTTGTACCTTCCTATATACGGAAAGTATTGGGGTCATAATAATCATCAATAATTTTAATAGTCAGTTGTAATAAGATGTGATGATAGCAACGTATTTCTTTCAGCTAACCAGTTTTCTTGAAAATGCTACTTTCACCTAATGAGATAAGCTTATAAATATCAGGATTTATAGTTCATTTTCACTCCTGATTCATAGTTTTTAGTTTCTGGCAATTAGGTTCAGACAAACCCTTTCGACTTGTAACACTTACAGAAGTTGTAGGTGACTGCTTTGTTCTTATATACTACTTAAAATTTTGTTAAATTATTTCGGTTATTTATTTACTTTGAAGAAGTGACTTGCATTAAGTCATGAAACGCAACTCGAACTGACGTACGTACGTACGAAGTTCTACGTTGTTACTGACTGACTGACATGAAACGCCAGAAATTCAAATTTATCTTTATTAGAATATCACGAAAATATAATTATTTCATCATTTTTAACTTTCTGCCCAATGCTCAATCTATTTGAAACTATCAACAAAATCTTTAGTATTGGTACCTAGTAACACATTTCTTGAGATATTTTCGGATTTCATGTTGTGCAAAGTTTTCTATTGAGAAGGATTGGTTACCTTTTTGCCATCAGTGCCATGATTCCTTCTAATTATAATCGACTTTTTTTTCCCCATTACTTCTCCTTTGAAGATATTTTCGCCTGTATACTTTCATAATTTCAACTCACGAATAATATCCTTGGTTTCAGTAAATTAAGCTTTCAACTAAATGTTATTCACTTCAACAGGTAATACAACATACACTGATAGTCATAACTGAAATTCTAGGCAAGGGTTCCACACTGTTTTCAGGACATTAATACAAGATATTGGTGTATGTAATAATTTAACCTCATGTAACCGTTGTTTTGATGACTTGTCTTTTATAAGGATTGACCTTATTCCAGAGCTACCAAATACGAATTCCTCTACTGAATCACGCTAATAGTTGTTTTGGTTCTGTACGAACTTGAGTTAACTGTATTTTTTTGTCTTCTCCGACACATCCACTTGTTGATGGAGTTCAGATCAGATTGAGCATAAGTCCTGTGGAGATGCCATCATGCTCGTTGTAATAAATAATATTCTACATGATAATAATCAGTAACTTTACTAAACGTAGTAGCAAAAAGACACCAGTGATATCTTTTCTAAGATTCCACACAAATAGTTATATGTATGCAGTTAGAATCAGCTGGATAAATGACATTTTTTAAAACTTAGTTATTATCTCTTAGACTAAACCATTACGGGTGGTAAATTACACCACAATCATACCAATTAGGAAGATCATTGACTTAGATGTCAACCACACGTTGGCTCGAGATTCCTGTTAAATGTTCTCACATAGTTAATCCGAGGGCGGAGGTGTACAGATTCCTTATTTTAACCTCATTAGTAGTAAAATAAAAACGGTAACCAGGTGATTGTCAGAAATAGTATTGTGATATCATATACAATATATCAAAAGAAAGTCACTGGAATAGTGAATCTTGGTAGATTTGAATATCTCTGTCCGATTTAGTTAAGGTGGATTGTTTGCATTCTATCTATCCGTTTACCTTCTGGCCCAGATTAAAAATTCCCACTTACAAAAGTTTGGAATTTTAAAGTTTCAGTAGTTTTTACACAAGAATTGTAATCCATACCTTAGTACTCTAACATGTATGTTGTTCAAATGGTCCATAAGAACTCGTCTTGATTGGTTAGTAAAAAAAATACAACTAGCGGATTAAATCGAATCTCAAATTTACTCCTTTCAAGTTACTGTAAAACTAAATGCAAGTGCGATGGAATTATCAACCATAAAAAAATCGATATTTGTCCCGACTTATTAAGAAGACCGAGACATAAGGGACTACTTAACAGTACTGTTGCCAAGTAGTGCAGTATGAAGACAGACTAAGTGTATGTTATTAAAGAAGTTGATTATATACTATGAAACAGATCAAATAGTTCTTGTTATCTATGTTTTACTGTTTAGCCATATGCTAAAATAAAAACTAATTGGAGTTAATTGTGTCTGGAAAAAATCGGAATTTGTGAGAATAGTGACCTATACTTATCTGGTAAATTTAGTACTGGTAAAACCAATGAAATAATTATAATTGATATCAAAGCTCAAAAAACACTCCGCTTCTCTTTCGGAACTAATAATCGCATATCTTGAGTTTCAGACCTTAAGAATATTAGTTAAAATAGAAACCGATTACTGCAAAAAGTTCACATTCATTTTCTTTTAAATATTATAACTCGTTTATCCGTGTACTCTTATATCCCATTTCAATCATTTTAATTATCTATACAACATTGGATTGAATAGAAGCTGTTACTCTTATACGAGCATCTAATTTTTATTTGTCCTCAGGTTTGTACCAGTTACTATTTGTTGCCATTTTTTCTAAACTACTTTACTTCGAAACAAGCTGTATTCATTACTCAGTGATTTATAGAATGTAACTTTGTCCCAACTCCCAGCTTCGACGTGAGAAAGAGCGACAACTGGAACAGCAAGAAAACGAGGATCTCGAATTGGCTTTAGCCTTAAGTGCTAGCGAAGCAGAGTCGAATCAGAGGAATGTAAGTCCGTATATTATATTTTGCTTTATTTCCTTCCTCACTATATTTGGTATTTAATGAGTAATCCGGATGAAATAAAAACTGTTATAGACATTTCATTTCTCTCCGCGATTATGTGTGGTAGTTAAAACGGTTCACTTCATTAAATTGTTTTTACAATCCTAACCTTGGTTCAATGAGTCCTACAGTATTTATTCTCTGACTACGACGTAATCATTTGTTTTATGTCAAATTAACTTATTTTTAACAAGCAAATTTTTATTTGTTTGTTCCGTTTGATTATTTCGCCTGATAATTATTAGAATTTTGAAGTGTTTGGAAGCTCAGTAGTGATGTAATCTATAGACCTGGTTTCAAGTCGTAAGTAATGTTGATGACCACATTAATAATAATCTCTGTTATGACTCTGGGCTTTCATCGAGCGAATATGAAATGAAAGTTATATAATTCGTGTCATTAGCCTGAAATATTTCCATTCTGATAATATAATTTGTATATTTTAAAACCATTGGCCTGGTGTAAAGATGCGATTAAAATATTTAGTGAAAATTAACTTATTGTACGGATTTAATTTGTTAAACACATATAGTATCAGGTTTATGATTTAATGTGCAACTCTCAACAACTTAACCAGCTAGAACAGTTGCTCTTGGAGATTAGTTCTTGCAAAAATACTGTTCATGAGCATGTAATATGAGTGTTAGAAACAAGTTCGTCAATGTGTGAATCCTCTGATTTGAAGCGATAGAGCTTCTATCACTTCAAATATATCATTAATTGCATCTCATGTGAAGGTATCCAATCAACTTCGACAAATTTTTCTTCCAATCTCATTCAATGAAACATGTGGTATGTTGGGATCTGTTTAAATCGCCACACTGAATTATGTATATTAAGAACGAAAATTCTATTTTGTCAATATTAAATTTTTCTATATCATTTGTAATAAAGAATCAAATAAAGTCTACTATCAATGACAATAAACCTTCACCATCATCAGCATCGCCAACAGTCGCTCACCTTCTCCCAGTTCTCGATACAAGTGAAATGGATCCTGAGTTAGCGCAATATTTATCTAAACATTATCAGAGAGCTAATCCATCATCTACTCAGGATGGCATATATCAAGAAAATTCTCAAGAACATCTCATGCTTCAACAGTCTACCACTCAGCCTAGCGCACCTATATATGCTTCCAGTACACCATCAGATAATGGTACGATTTCTATTAACACTCTCAAGTCCGGAGTGAATAGTGATTTCAATGTACCAGGGAAAAGTCGATCCAGTGAGATAGTAAGTTTATTTTTAGAAAATGTACTCAGTTCATTAACTTAATAAACATACAAAAGAAAATACAAGTCCTAATAACATTTATTCTTTTTTCTACAACTTCGTAAGTCACTACAATTTCTCGTTCACCGTTTAAGCAACACTAAAGTTAGTTTGTAGCTTTACGTACTACTAGATATACTACCTTTCACGTTGTGAAAAACCGAGAAGTGGCAACTACCCCCAAACCTCTAACAGCACCCAGGATCATCTTGTTCATGATCAAATCTCTCTCTTACCTCTTAATATTTCTCTCCCCCCACAACTAAACCTCATTACGTATCTTTATCATCATGAACCACCAATGCTAACTATTCAAGTCCACTCAATGCCATTCTTAGTCTCTTGAAACCGCGCTCTATACTACATGTTGGAGCTTTGAATATTCGAATCCAGTGTCAGATAGAACAACTGGTTTCCTTAGCTTAGACTCCAGAATTCCACGTTATCAATGTATGTTTTCTCCAAGACGTGCATACAGAGTCCAAGTATGGTCGTTCACTTAACATCATCTAGTCAATGTCAAGAACCAACTCGATTTACTTTCCGTGTACCTGGAGACCCCGCTGCTACTGCCCATCGCCTCGTTTTTGTAGGTATAGCATTAAATTCAAAAGCAGAACGGATTCTGTTAGTTTGAATTCAAATAGACAGTCGCTTGTGCCCTGTCGCACTAAAAGGGACAATAGAAAATGGAGAAGATAGGGACACAAGCCGTTCCCTCTTCATCGTCTCTGTCCACATACCTACTGGTTGCAGTTTGGATCAAATAAAAGATGAATTTTATAAAAAGCTTTCCACCCTCTTTTAAAAAGCTAATGACTGATGTTTAGTGTTAGCGACAAGTGATTTTAGTACCTAAGTAGGTAGACTAAACAAAACTGAGAGGCCATTATGTAAATCTTACTGTGTCGCGCTTCAGCAAACAGATAATGACAACAGTCTTCTGCAACTACGCTCAGATAACTGTTTATTTCTAACAAGCACCATAAGAACAAACGTCGTCCGACGAGATGACATCCACAGTCGAATCAACCATGGGCTCAAATAGATCACATTGTCACTAACCATTGTTGAAGAGGTTCGATAGAAGACTGGCACTCATTCTAGAACACATGTTTGGACTCAGTATGAGCATGTATTGGTCTGTGTTTTACTAGATGTAGGAACGTTCAACTTATTGATTAAAAAGTCAAATATATTTCAGGAACAACTAGAGAAGTAGTTAGTCAATCAGGCAAGTTATAGCCACCCCGAGGTAACTTGATATGATATCTAAACAACAGTGCTATCTGCTGGTAATGTAAATCTAAAGCTTAAAAAATAAGTAGGTTTCTGTAGCGTCTATTAAACAGATAGATACTCGGAAACACCCCATCTGGCTCCGAATATGATGAAGAGGAAGTTCAAAAGCAGACTGGTAGAAATCTTACTCAATGAACGTGAGTAGTGTTGGACGGCGAAAGCAAAAGGGACAGCAATGGGAGAGGTAATAGGTAACAGTATACAACTATTCAGACTTATCAAGGGGACAGGTATTAAAAATCCGGCTGTTAGTGAGACTATTTCGGAAAAAGGCAGGGCTATTATTCGCCCTCAGTCCAGGAAACGTCCGATAGCGAGAATGCTTTAGGGAACATTTAACTGACCCTCAACCAACCTTGATATAATTTTCGACGTCCGACAATAGTTGTATTTCTTGACCTAAAGGTGGCGTTCGACTCCATTGATCTTAAGGGTCTATGACAGTCTGTCATTGAAGGACGTATCAAAGAAGTACATCAGTCTTTTACAAACTCTATGTTCAAGCACCATTGGTTGAGTCAGAGCTTAAGGTGAATTGTCATTGGAATTGTACTATCTCCCCATTTTTATTAGACTTTGTCATATACATGCTTTCAGGGATAACAGTTTCATCGACGGAATTTTCAGGGATCGGTCTTTTGTTAGGATATGCACTTGTTGATTGTTATATTTTACTGTAGTTAGTTGAAGGTTAATTAACTGATTCAAACTATCTGTTTCAGAATCCAGCTAATCCTAACGGTAAGACAGACTTCAACTCATCGGAAATCCCAGATCTAACTAATCCAAAACAAGAAGAGTTCCTTGATGCTCTACGTGGTAGTATCGAATTTTTCGTAAATCGTTTGCAGAGCAATAGTCAAAGAGGACGTAATATTTCAAGTGACACAACAGTCCAAACATTATTTTTGACACTAAATAAAATGCATCCACAATTAATGGACTACAAACACTACATGGAGGAACGCCGAGGTGAATGCTTTAATATGTTCAGGTTTTTCATTTGTGTTTGGTAACCTATCGTAACAGATATTATATTTGTAACTGGAATTAGTTTACAAATAACTACATAATTAGTATTATTTATTATTTTAACACAAAGATTGGTACAAAAGGTAACCAAAATATATATGCCCCACACAAATAATTGAATTTATTGTATAGACTGGGATACTGTCCTGGTGGACAAAATGAAGGAGGTGGTCTTCTCATAGCGCCACTCCCCGAATTTTTAACCCAGGGGTTTAATCGACCAGATAGTGAAGCAACGTTAGGAGATGCGATTCCATGGCAGCCAGTGACCAAGGATAGGTTCATACTCCGTTTATTCCCTTAGTATTCTGGAGCCCATGTGCGCTATTGGCTTGGAATCAGGGTTTTCCAACTCCCCTAGGTTAATCATCTGTACCCAGCAACTCGGTTTTAGCGACGGACATTTGCTTCTCGTCCTCTCGATGTCGTAAACAACACTGCCGCGAGAAGGCAATGAATAGGATTTCCCTGGAAATGACTATATGAGAACAGTTCGAAAGATAAAGCGGGTTCTCCTCAACATCGGCTGTACTAGGGTATTTGAGGGCATATAATAATTGGCGAAGATATTAACACAATCACTTAAAAACATTTTAGGATCAGATGGATGTAATTATAGACCGAAGTCACTATATTTCTGACCACCACAGATTATTAACGACAGTCGGGATAAATATAATATTAATGACAGCAAAAAGTGAATATAGTAGTTTTAGTTGAAACACATTAATAAAACTAAAGATGTAGGGGAGCTTAACATTACTCAGAGATCTACCATAAGTAAACAATACTTCAAAAGAAAGTCTGTTACCAAGTACTTGCAGTTTGCGCATATTTTCTACGTTCGAGACCATGTTACCTATCTGTGAAATGATGTAGTTTAAACTGATACGTAGTATACTCAACACTTCGAAATGGATGGGACTTACACCGGTGACACAAGTCACCAAAATCTAAACAAAATCATTGAAACCCTATTTCACTTGTGTTAGCTAGGAATTCATTTTGGATTAGTGAGAGTTCGAAGATAAATGAAACAATCAACTTACTAGCCTAATTCACTTCCTGTAGTGGCACATGTCATTTACACAAATCAGTTCCGACAAAAAGAACATACTAGTTTCCATTAGATTTCTTTGATAACATACTGAAGTTAATAAAATGTCATTATGGATCATCCAGTCAATCCTCTATCATACAACATTTACTTTATACAAAAATGATTTTTTTTATAAACACACAACAGCTTTTATTTTTAGCCTATTTTGAGAAGATGCAAGACAAACTTAACCAGATTCGTGAAGCTCGTGAGGCTTTGGATGCATTAAGACATGATCACGCTGTTCGCAAACAAATAGAAGAGCAAGAAGCTGCTCGTATGCGTCAGTTGCAGATAATGCAGAAATTGGAAGCTATGCGACAACAGAAAAGAGTAGGTTTTACATGTTTACATATCGTGTCATTGTACAACTACCAAAATGTTTTTCCCAGGAATTTATCTGACTATGAAAGGTTAACATTTTCTAAATAATTAACATATATCATATAAAATAGTAAGACAGTAATATCATGTCTCTTTAAGATTATAGTTCTGTGAAGTGAGCTCTCCTTTTTGTTGGTCATGTCTACCAACATTCAGTCAACCTCGGGAATATCAATTCATAGGTAATAGCTAAAGTCGTTGTTACAACTCGGTATATGACAATTAACAATAAATTTAACGAAATCCTGTCGCACTAATGGCTCCATTCTTAATCAGTTCTGCTTAGTAACAAATACCAGAAAAAAGCTTTTAAACACACAGATATATACCAGTCAAGATTTCGATCTTCAGAAATTTACACACATAAGTACTTACCTATTAAATGAACTAGCTGCATTGTTATAATTTGTGTAGCTTGGTTGGGGTCCAATACAAAGAAACGAGGAATTATTGTTATACGACGGTGTATCTGGTGCGACTAAATAGATCGAATGGCTAACACATGGTACTCCAACGATAATAGCTTCACACGAGTAAAAAACGTGCTTTTTGCCTTGAGCAAAGACAGTAAAACGAGTAACACCATAGTATGTATAGTATTATACATGTTTTTGCAATCAGTAGTAATCTATGTGAACCATGTACCATTTTCAAGTCGCAAGATTCACAATATTAGTTGTTGCGCCATCACTAACTGCTTATAATAATACTGACTTGCATCAACCATATCCATACCTTCATCGGCTTAGAATTTCAGCGACAGCCTCTAAAAAATATGCACTTTGTTGATCTGTCAACTCTTAAACTTGTTCAGCTTACTGGAAACTGTAACATCTAGTAACAAGCATGAAGTGGTGTTTACTGTATCTACTTATTCTCTGATTTACATTGGATATGCTTCTAATCTAGCGTTGTACTTTTAACATCGATTAGAAGAGACTGCTACCAGAATGTGTTTTTTTAGAAATCTTTAAGAAAATCAATCTCCTTAAAATTTTGTAAAAATCCTGAAATGATGTACTTGGAGCAGATCGCTGTGATTTTGCACTTCTACAGTGTCACTATATCCCGTAATATACGAACCTTCTAACCATTACTTATATAACGAGATCTTTTCTGGTAGTCAACAAACGATCTGCTCAATTACCAGAAAGTTTAGTTGGTATTCATAGTCTTTCTTCACACTCGCTTTTAACTGCGTCTTATTCTTTTCATGATTTTTTAATTAAAGCCTCTTAAATATTAAAATTTTCACATAGGACACTTTGGAGTACAAATTACGTATGACACTAAAACAAAATATGCAGTACCAACAAGAATACGGAATACCACAACAACCCTTACCGTACGGCGTCGATTCATTTTCTAGTGTACAAACTGTTGCACCTGGAGAAGGTTACCCAACCAATTATACTTTGCCTTATATATCTGGAATTAATTACGCATCATTTCCACCTGTTCCGAACGGTTACCTACCAAGAGACAATAGGGTTTATGCCACACAATTTCCAGATCCGAATTCACTTGTCCCCACTCAAAGTGGTGCTAGTAGACCTAGTTATAACATGTCATACACACCACAATTTCATTCATATGTTCCCGACCCAGTTGGCCATAATATCCAAACACATCCTTCGTTTTCTCAAGGAAACCAAAATCCAGTTCCACCTGGCTCATTTTCGATGCAAAGTACGTACCTTCTACATATCCGTTCATAAATGTATTGTAACAATTGATATATACATATGTATATTTCCTCACATAAGATTGATATACTAAATAGTACAGACTATATCTCGTTGATAATCAGTTCGGATGTTTAGTTAATTTATTTTAGCTCCATTGCTCCCGTATCACTTCATAATTTATGCATGCAATCGCATGTTATGCGTATATGGACAACAGGTATCGTGATGATTCTATAGTCACTTCAGAATATAAGTTCAGGGGAGTCCACTTTGCGACTAATATATTTCCACCGTATGAGGTTTTGCTCTGACGCGTGCTTCTGATTTCTAGGGTATTGGATAATGATATTTATTAGAAATGGTAATTAAACTTTATTCAACCCACAATAAATAATTGTGATCACATTTATTCTTCGAGATACTAATAGGGCTCAGCAAATCCTCATCTGGGATACAAGGACAATTTTTGATTGCTCCACTTGCAATCAAGTTGTCCATCAAGGAGTTTCAGTCAATTAAGTTTATTTATTTGAACACAAATATTGATACAAGGGGGCATCAGATACATATGCGCCACACAATAATAATGAGGATGGGAAGAGATAAAGAATGTAAGATGCGTGTGAAAAAAAAGAATAATAACGACCACAAATTAGTGTATGGTAGTGGAATAATAATAAGGGAAACAGAAAGGTACAACCAGAAAGAATCCTTTCAGTTAAAGAAGTTACGGTCCCTTTTTCTGAAGAAAATAAAAGGTTACAGCAGGGTTGCCACTAGCTTCTATTCTGAGCCATGTCTGGTAACGTCTCTAGCCACTGCGTTGCACCATCTCTAGGACCCCAACCAGGGAGTCGTGAAGGACCAATAGAAGTCAGTCCTGTGCAGCTTTCTTTCATATCACGACACCATGTCATACACTGACCACCTCCGCTCTTTCCAACCAGTCCCAGCGTCGGCGAGTAATGCACGACGAGGAATTCTCTGGGATGACATTTGTAGAATATGTCCCCCGAAGTCGATGTTTCTCTACGCTCGAACACACGATCTCGAGTCACTGCCTGTTCGAAAGTTGAATACTTTTACCAAGTACGAATACTGAAACAGTTTCTGAAATTCGGTTTATACTGTATCAAAGACACTAACATCGAAATCTCCGTAAAGGCTTATTGAGTTGTCGATGTTTTATTAGAATGCCTTATCTTCCTCCTTTCTAACGACATTTATAATTTCACACACAAGAACTATTCTCCTGATTAATCTTCTTTAATGAAGCTAACCACTCCTCTAGTTAAGATTTGACTACTACATGTAGGTTGGTTATACTTAACCCAACTCAGCTTCATCTAATTGGAATCTCTTCATTTTCTGCCTAGGTATACAGGCATCTTTGCCGACTTATACAGGACAGGATGATTCAAAAGGTTACCCTGGGAATCAAACTTATCCATCTAGCCAACTTGTCATGGACGAAAACAATGTACCCAGGTACACACAGGTTGTGACCCATCCAAGTGATGCACCTAACAATTATACTGAGTCGGGTGCTGCAGAGGCACAGTTGATATCTTTCGATTAAACGAATTTGACTTTTTTTTATTTATTTTATGAAGCGAATCATTCATGATATTTTCCCTGTAATTAAATATTGTTGATGTCAGCTAGTCATTATTAGTTTGGTCATTTTCGTTTTTTTCCATTTCCGACGCTTATGTTGCAAGCAAAAAATTCCTGGTTTATTTTTGACTGATAACATTTTTAATAGCTTGATTGAATATGCTCTGTTAACTCACTATTATGTTAATATCTTAATATATGTCAGCCGGGAGTGAATGGTGTGGCCCTAATAAGCAAAAAAACGATTGTACCTAAAATATTCATGTTTCGAATGGTTTCATTTCTACAACATAAGATGTTATTGATAACAGTGAGGTTGATTACTCTATCATATTCAATTCGCTTTTCTTTTTAACTGAATAAATCCCATCCAAAAGCTAGTCGTTTTAAATGATCTGGTAATAAACTGTCAATAAAATCTTGTTGAAAAGTATATTCATCCAGGGAAGTAAAATGTGCTTAAAGCCACTGCTAGTTGCCCATATTTTGCAAATAACATTGAGTGACTAATACATTAGAATCAAGCACGAACTCGAGTCTTGTCTACCAACAAATAGGGGATCTGTATTAATCATAAGGTAAATTACAGTTGTATAATTATTACACAAACGGATGTTCATTTACTATCTGCATTTTAAGAATTCTAATGTTACTCATCAAGTTGTTCAGTTGTTACGGGAATAAATGAGCTCACTTCGCATATCAATGCTTGAACGGTGTAATATGCAGAAAACTTTGCATTTGCACATTCTCACTAAAACAAATGCACAAAGTAAGCCTAAGAATCCATCGAAATATACTGCATGGAAAAAGTTCTCGATCTCCGCATATACAGGACAAAGTTTTCGCATTATGAATCGTAACGGTCACTTAGCAATAACATCTTTCAAACTGCGGTCATGAAAGGGTTTTTGCTTGGAAAACCTTGACCTTATACGTTTGTTGACCGGAAAGGTTCTAATTTATTATTTTATAGCCACGACCAGGTCTGCAGCCCGCCTGATTCTCTTGTGTTTGCAGTTCACGAGTCTTAGTTGGGCGTCTGATAATTATTGAGGCCAGTACTTTAGATGCTATATTAGTTAAACTAATCCCTCTGTGGTTGTCACAGGATGATTTTGACCCTCTCTCATATATTGGGACGATGTGATTGTGGCCAGTCAGATGGAATAACGTCTAACTGCCATATCTTAGCTCAAATATTAGTCAACCTAATCGCTTAAATTGGACCACCATCCCTAAAGACCTCTGGAACCAATCCATCTGGACCAGCTGCCCTTCCTCGTTTCAGATTAACTATAGCCTTTTGAACTTCTGCTAGAGTCGGGGGACCTACTTCAATGTTCCATTTACACTGTCTGGGGATGGAGGGTAGTTGTAGAGTAGCTGAAGGCCAGCTGAACTGTTCTCTGAAATGTTTCGCCAATCGTTCTAAACGTCTGAACTGAGAGATGAGGGTGTCGTCTTGACTTATTAATTCCAGTTTCTTTTATTAGTCTGTCTTGTGTTAAGAATAAACTTAGTAGAAATCCATTATTTTTTCGTAACCCTTTGGTTTAAATCATTAATATAGATATCACTGTTGTTTCCACAACTGTTCGTATATCATTCCAAGCAACATCTGGATCAGCCTCGTTTTCAGAAATGACTAATTGTGACCTCAGTTGTTCCTGGGATCTACTTTTGGCTTCCTCGTCACTGAGTTCGACTCTAGTGGGCCTTCCTAATGTGGTTTTCCTGCGTCCAGAGAGGCGCAAGAAAACGCGTGCTCGTATTACATCATGATCGGAGTCCAGGCAGGTATTCCAGAACGAGTGGCAGTCTCCTATCGACCCTCTCCAACGATGACTGGTGGCAATATGGTCCGTCGTTGGTTTGGTGCGGGCGGTCGCCATGTTAAACTATGTCTCTATATGCTTAAAATTAGTACTTGCTAAAAATAAACGATTGCCTGGGCATAGTTGCAACAGGCGATCACCATTATCTGTTCACTGAGCCGGAATACCAAAATACCCACTTAAATGTCTTTCTGATTGGTTTAAACTGACTATCTGGGAATTAAAGTCACCGGCTACGAGTACTATGTCTGAGTGTTTAGCTTTATGAAGAAGTTCAGAAAGCTTTCTGTAAAAATGATCTTTCACTTCATCCGGTTTGCAGTCAATGGGAGCGTAGGCAGAAACGACGACGTGTGTCCCTATCCTTCCGAATTCTTACGGAGCCGAACAGCACTTGGCGACTGTTAACGGGAATCCATTCTAATAGTGCTTGTTCTGCCCTCGTATTCAGTGCTATATCTACACCTGCCAGTACACGAGAACTAGCCATTGGGTTGCCAGATACACGGAGGGTCTATCTCGTCGGCTCCTCGTTTCGGAGAGGTGGGTCAAGTGAATGAGCACACTAGGATCATGTATGCGTGTTTCGGAGACACAGCATACCTCAATGGTACGAGATTCTAGGGTTTTAGACGAGGTCTGCTAGCCGACTTGACATAGGGTGCGTACGTTAGTCTCCATCACGTAGTTTGGAAAGAGGTTTCATTAGACCTGCGACAGTGTTTCGCGCAATAGGATCGTTGGTCATGATGACACTTGAGAAGAAAGCCAAAATAGGAAGTTAGGGGTTGAAAGTCGATGTAGGAGGAATAATAGGAATTGAAGATGGAGGTTGATTATGAATACAGTGGTCTTGAGTGCTGTTAGAGGTATGAAGGCGGATATCACTTCCCGGTTGCCCACACCGAGGAAGGGTTCTTCTGGAGGTGCCTGAAAAAGAAATTGGATTAGAGGTGGTCATAGTGACCTGAGAGCGTGACCGCGGTGTCCAACGGACAACTGCTTGAGGCCGGTCACACCCGACCTCTTTGTGAGTAATCTCCGTGTTAGTTCCGTACTTATTCGAACCTTACCACTGGAGATGGGAATCCGTGAGATAAGGCGAGGTGTGCATTTTTAGGGTCGGCCGTTTCCAACCCCGCCCTTTCTTTGTGGGAAGGCAGCATCGCTGTCATGCTGGTTGTCTGAAGGAAACACCTCACTGCCATCACACCTGTACAGTCAGCAGTACGAATTTACCCTCGGTCAGTCAGTCAGTAACAACGTAGAACTTCGTACGTACGTACATCAGTTCGAGTTGCCACACCACCTTAGCACAGAGATGCAGTTGTCGATTCAAATCCCGTAGTGGTAGAAGTAGCAAGAGTATAAGCAGTAATAGGGAAGATTAGGGTTTGGAGATGTTATTTAAAGAGTATAATCCAGTGAAATAAATTTGAAAAGATGAAAAAAGGGACATGGAGAATTCAGAAGATTAGAATTTGTGAGAACACAAAGAGTGGATGCACCTGCGCCATTGCAAACGATTTTGAGCCATGTCATTCAGGGTCTCTAACCATCGGTTGCTATCATCTCGTGGTCCCCAACCAGGTAGTCTACACATACGAACCTGACTCAGTCCACTTGTCAGTGACTTCATGGACTTGTGCCATGTTTTGGTTTGGCCGCCTCTAGCTTTCTTCCAACCTACTCCTATACCACTGAACATAGCACGTCGAGGCAGTCGGTCGTTGGGCATACGTAACACGTGTCCCAGCCATCTCAACTGATGAAGTTTCACTACTTCATCAATTGGTTTTCCATCCTTACCTAGTACCCGTTTCCTAACAACTGTGTTACTCGATGGTCCCATGATATACGAGCAATGTTTCGAAGACACCTATGATCGAATACTAGTAACCTACGAATATCCTCTACTCTTACCGGCCATGTTTCACTGCCATAAAGTAGGATGGGACGAACTGCTGCGCAGTAAACGCGTCCTTTGGTTGATAGACGGATATCTCGCCTACTCCATAAATGACGCAGGTTGGCAGAAGCTAGTCGAGCCTTCTGTATCCGTGCTGAGATTTCGTCACACACCAGACCACAAGGGCTGATGAGACTTCCAAGATAAGTGAGACAGTCAACACGCTCAACTACTTCATTCCTATCATTAGTTCGGGTGTCAACGCAATCCAATCCTGAAGCAACATTTTGCATTTCGAGGGTGAGAATCGCATCCCGAACATACTTGCATTGTTGCTTAGAGTGGTCAGAAGACTCTGCATTTTGTCAGCGTCTTCACCAAATAAAATTATGTCATCAGCATATTCTAAGTCTACAAGTAACCTCCCGGTAGAAGTTCAACCCCTGGAAATTTAGATGAGGAGAGTGTTATCTCTAAAAGTACGTCAATGACAAAGTTGAACAAGAATGGGGAGAGTGGACAGCCCTGACGAACACCACTTGAGGTAATCAATTCTGATGACAGTTCGCCATAAGCTCTCACTCTACCAGTTGTGTTCGAGTAGAGAGCCTTTATAAGGTTAATGTACTTCTTTGGTGCTCCTTTCAGTGACAAACACTGCCATAGAACCTCACGATCCACAGAGTCGAATGCCGCCTTAAGGTCGAGAAATACTACCATTGTGGGGCGCCCTCGGACCTTGGGTTTGCTGCTTTTATTCTAATCGACCTCTCTAGCATGGTAGGTCCTTGAGGAACGATTGTTCTGGTCAGTACAGCTCGACAGATTCATCACGATGGGCAAGTGCGACTACCCTGTCAAGGTAATAACAACGGTCGGGATAGCTGTTTCGTTGACTGAAATGTACTTAATCGCAACACAATAGTCTAACTAGACATAAATATTGAAGTCGACGCACTAAATGCACTTACAATACTGATCACCACCAAACTACACAAATACATTGAGGAAACTGACTGTAAGCAGACCATGCACAATAGACTATCACTAATCCCATTACACAATTATAGACAGGACTTAGTGACCTGAGGATTCACTGCTTTTAACTAATTTATAGATGGCCAACTCCACCTGTTTCCCTTCTAGGGCTACTGCTGGTCCCAAGCCCGGTTAGAGGAACAGAGTTGGGCACGAGATTTGCAGCTCCATTTCGTA